AGAGTGTAGGTGTTGATTGTGGCTCTGAAAGTTTAGTTCCTGTCTAGACTCTCACCACAACTTTCTGTGTGTTAGCAATTCATTATAGGAATATGCTATGAATACTGATGTTCACAGTCACAGTTTTGACTTTTATTAAATGAGATTTTTTTTATTTCCCCAGATGTGCCAGATCCACCTCAGGCTCCAAGAATCCTCAGTGTTGGGGAGGACTCATGTGTAGTCCAGTGGGACCCTCCCCTGTTTGATGGTGGCCAGCCAATTTTGGGTAAATGCTACTTCAATAGAAAGCATGCAATCCTATAATTTAGGCCTTAAAGAAGTCTTTGAATTTCAACACATTAAAAAGCTTACCTTAGTCTCTATGTCTTCTAAGGCTATGTCCTGGAGAGAAAGAAGAAAAAGAGCTACAGGTGGATGCGGCTGAACTTTGACCCCTATAAGGACACCACATACGAAGCTAAGAGGATGATTGAGGGAATGGCATATGAGATGAGGGTCTATGCTGTGAACAGTATTGGCATGTCACGGCCCAGTCCTGCCTCCCAGCCTTTTGTGCCTGTTGGTAAGTTTCATTTACATTTGACTGATGCTTTAATCTAAAACAACAACTGAGCAGTTGGAGTTTAATGCTGTTAGCTTGGTGGTCCTGGGATATATATTCAACAACTCTGATCACTATCTTTTGATCAGTAGCCCAAAGCTTTAACCAGTGAGCCACCACTGCCCTGATATACTCCTGATTTCTTGATTAGTCTTGGCCTTGGTTTTTATAAACACTAATAATAATTGGTTATATAAAAATGGGTTGATTTTTTTTAGGATGAATGATTTATGGAATTTCTCTTGTTTCTGGTTAGACACTAAGGTGGTGAAGTGACTTTGCTCAAGAAAAAAACACCAAAGCCATAAACCTAATAATACTATTTATCTCTACAGTTGTTTAAAACCCAGGAACTTAAGTAAGCCATAATGAAATACTCTAAACTTTTTCAAACCCATCTGTATTTATAGGTGATTAACCACAAACAACAATCTTGACATGTATCTTGTATGTATGTACTGAGATACTTTACTGAAAACTCACTTATCATGGAAGTTTAAGGGTAGATGTTGGGGCAGTCGCTAGACTTTCACACTAACAGTTCAGACAGGTAATAGGTGATCATTCATTTCCTGTGTCACTCAACAACATGGTGACAAATGCCGAGTTTGAATTGAAAGTTTGTAGATGCAAATACTGCAATATTAAAATTTTTAACAAACGTAACCCTGATGTATGTATGTTAGACAATAAAGTGTATATATTATGGGTACTGCTATATCAGAACTTCAGACACAAGCAACACAAGTGATTTGTTTTAAGTGAAGACAGAGTTCTTATATATTCTTATATAGCTGTTCTTATATAGTTTTATTGAGATTTCCAATGCTGGAGCATTATGGTAAGAAGTAATTTTGGTTAATTTACACTGTTCCTAAGATTTTGTGATAAGGCTATGCAGAATCTGAAACTGAAGCACTTCATTTAAAGCTATAACCACAAAAGATTCCATCTGTAAAGGTAGCCTGAAAAGGTAGGGTTACTTTTGTCCCATCTCTAAAAGCAGAAATTATAAATGTTTAGAGCTTAATTTACAAATAATTTTGACCAAAAAAATTGTGGAAGCTTTTAAAACAAATTCTTCACATAAACATTTCATAACTGTTCTAAACAGTTCTTAAAAAGTGAGTTTCAAGTAAGTGGGCTACATGTTCGTTTCTCAGTACAAGGAAACACACTGAAATTACCGCCTGGGGTAATTACCTAAGTACTACAACCGCTGTAGATCTTAGAGATTAGGCTGAAAAAACATTGGAGCATGATTTATGCCAAAATTTGGGCATGTAAGCCAGGCAGAAAATCCAGAAAACCCCTGAAGAATGCTAAATTAACCATTGTTCCTTGTGTCCAGGAATGCTATTATTTCTGGTTTAGCAGAAAGCTAGAGTGTAAGAGAGGAGGGGTTTTGTGTGTATGAGGTGGTGCCAAGCATGTTAGTGTCAAGGAGACCCTTCTTTCATCTGCTTGCCAATTTAGGGATGCTGCTCTATTCTAGCCACCTGGAGCCGCTCAGCCACACGTCATCATACCACTGTTTCAAGGCTCTGTCATCTCTTTGGAGAGTGCGTGTCCAATGCCTAAAATAAGACCCTTTTCAGGATAACTGCCCAAGCTTAAAAGACTTAGAGGCACAAGTCTTTCCATTTATCTCTATGTGATAGTAATTTTATTGCCTCATTGTCCCTTTATTTTATCTGGTTCAAATGGTCTTAAAAGTTATCAGTGCGGTGTGACGTCCAGCACAATACAGTAGATTAGGAAACTATTTTTGGCACCCTCATCTATAAATAATGGCATGTTAGCGTAAGGTTATGGCCAAGCGTATGGTGCACACAGGCCGCTAGACTACAGAGAGGAGGGGGGAGGACGCACAGCTTAGCCATTGCTGCTGTCAACAATTCTGATCACAGGACCCTGAGGACAGGACAGTACAAGACAGGAGAGGAGTACAGCAGATGAGAGGGAAAGGCCTGAACAAAAGGCAGCCAGGTTCACAGACCAGACGAGAGAGTGTTTACAAAAACCTCAAGGGACATTACACCAGTGTGCAGTGACGAAGTGACCCACCGGCAGAATGACCAAGCCTATGCTTCCAAAAACTGCGGAGAAAAAGTCGGCCAACGAGGCACCAGCAAATGCTCCTGCAGATCCTCCTGCAGATACCCCTGCAGAAGTCAAGGAAAGTGAGGTAATAGCATCTCCTCCAGAAGATACAGCCACTGAAGCAGCTGTTCCTCCAACTGAGGAACCTGTTCCTGCAGAAGGAGAAGCTCCTGCACCTTGTGCAGATGGAGAAGCAGTGCCAGGAGAGGGGGCACCTTCAGGAGAGGAGGGAGCACCCCCGGCTGAGGAACCTGCCCCCCCACTTGAACCTGAACCAGAGCCAGAACCTGTCGGCAGTAGGCATCTCATTCTAATTCTGCTTGTCCTTGTGGAAAGCTAGTGAATGCATGTCTTGGGTTTATGTAGACTTAGGCATATCTACAGAAATATCGTGTTTAGATCAGGATTTCATATTGGCTGACTTGGCATTGAATACTTTGTTACCAACTAGTCTTCACTAGCCAGTGTTGATTCGTCAAAATGAAATATTTCTCAGAAATATTCAAATGGAAAAAATGTGTGTCCATAGAGGGATGTATTTAGTAGAAGACGCTGCATTGCTAGCATCATTGTGTCACCTGCTGCAACTCAAGCATTCATCACTATGAACAAAGGCTACTCTTAGTCTTTGTTGGATATAACTATTGTATTTTTTATGCTGTATACAGTATACTTAAAAAACAAACAAACTGGTAATTCAGTGGAAAATGTGGATTTTGATTTAAAGAAGCTGCAGTTTTAAATTTAAATTCCAGTTTGAAGCACTGGAAGATTACCAAATATAGGGTAAATTCTCTTTCCTGGCCTTATCAAGACTTTTTTCCAGGTTGATTTTTTTTTAAACTTTCCAGTCTATGCTCTGTTTTAAAGGCAGTTAACAGTAAGAAGCAAAAAAATGTGGAGAACAAGAGAATTGGTAATGTATCATGGGAATATCTTCAGATTTAGAATTTATTAGAGTCTTGACCCTATATTTCTTTGACAAGAGTATATTCCGAAAACATTTTCTGAATTTCCATACTATTCAACATCTAAAAAGGGATGCCTTTAAATTCCATACTTCTTCTAGATTTCCCATACTTACAACAAACCTTTCAATTGTTCAAAGGTTCTTTATTATTTTTCGAATTAATCTTAAGGAATCCATCCTCCAGCATTCTGCAATTTTGTCACAATACCTGAGCCTGACGTGACAATGCCACATGTAAACTATTTCTGTCCTGAATGCAGCATGCCCCTAAGAGCATCTATATCGTAGAGAGGTCCTTATCAGCACTAGCCCAAGTTTAACTTGTGCTTATTCAAACAATGGCAGTTATGCTCAACTATAATGGGCAGCTGAAGGCCACGAAGGCTGGCTGGAAGATAATGTTAGATGTACCAGACTTGGACCTCTGAGTTTTATTGCCCCAATAGTTTCCATGCCCTTGTCCTCCAACTGACTATTGGAAGAGCACAGGATTGAAAAAAAAAATATCCTGGTGACAAGTCCTAGTAAATCCATATAGCAAAGACTTTTGATTCTCTATTCAGGCTCTGGTAGCTTAGTTACTTGGCAACTCAGTGCTTTATTTCTCTGATATGCTTTAGTGAATGTACAGTGCAGAGCAGATTTCCACTCTAAAAATATACATCAAGCTGTTTTGTATTTACATTACTGTGAATAGGCAAATCCAAAAACCAAATATTACTGGAAATTTAAACTTTGTAATCTACAGTAAGCTTTATGTATAACAGAGCTTTACTTTATGATGCCTGCTTTCACCATGTTTATACTGGAGACCTCCAAAAATTTTTTTATTTTCAATTATAGTCTTTTGATCTACTTTGGTGTGGCTAATTTTCTATAACTAGTCTAACTATAGCGGGAGTCTCAAACGTATTTTAGGTAACGGGCCACAGTTACACTTAGAACAATGTCAAGAGGGCCAGACCAAAAAAACAGTTTAGTAGACCAATAAATCATTTACAACTCCTTTTAAATATGTTAGTTTATGGGCATTTTTCTGAAAGCTACAGACTGAACATTTTCCACTTTTTTGTATGTCCAGGAATCTTTAAAAAACAATAGCTCAGAATACTGAAATATAATGGAGGATCTAATTTGCAAATCCTCCCCCCCTTCAGCTGCTCCCGTTCAGGGTCGCCACAGCAGATCACTCGTCCGCATATTTTAATTCTGGCACAAGGTTTACACCAGATGCCCTTCCTGACGCAACCATTCCCATTTCCAGGCTGGGGACCGGCACTGAGAGTGTACTGGCTCATACAACCCACCATTGGCTGGGGCTGGTTCCCTGACCAAGAATCGAACCTGGACCACGGCAATGAGAGCAGCACATACTGGCCACTAGTCCACCAGGGAACCCTAGTTTGCAAAATTATTTACAAATAAAAAATTTAAATGAATCCTAAATTTGTTCTTTTGGAAAGAGACATGTTGACAGCATCAAATTTTAGCTTGCTAAAGAAGGATTATATATCATTAGCACGTTTTGTCAGTAGCAGAGTTATGGCTTAGTTTATTGCTCTATTTTGCCCCCTAGTGTAATATAAACTAGCTCTATTTCAAATCTTTCAATTCAATTACAGCCCATAAGATGAATTTAATTTAAAAGATGGATTCTAAATTTATTTGGTGGGCTGAATTACATCCTTTACTGGGCTTGTCGTGGCCTGCGGACCGTATGTTTGGCACCCCTGAACTCTAGTCTGAAACTATATAACTACACTGTGAGTTTCATAGAGTAGAGTAGATTTAGGTTGAGGTCTAGTATCAGAGTCCTGCTGGACTCAAATGCACTGGTTTTAATTAAACACTCGGGTTAGAATACTACAACCATACTATAACTTAAATTAATAAAATTCCCAAGTACCAATTCTCAACATCTGCTGTCCATTAAATTCAGTTCAACCTGTGTGTTTTCCCTCAGCCCCCTCCAGTGAGCCCATTGGTCTGTGTGTGGATGACATCAGTGACACCACGATCTCTCTGAAATGGAGGACTCCAGAGAGAGTAGGCTCTGCTCCTATAGATGGCTATGGGGTCGAATACTGCAAGGAAGGCAGTAAGTGCATGACTGTGAAGGTTTCATGTGTATCTGTGTAAGTGTTATTGCAGAATGAGAGCGTCATTGAAAATGAATACCTGAACTTCACTGCACAAAAAAACCCTACACTTTTTACTCCTTACATTTTCATTTAGACCTTTAAAATAATTGTCACAAATCTCAAAGATGAATGGTTGATTTGATTTTATACTAAACAAGTTATAGGAAAAGGTATGAATAGTAACCCTGTCCCTTAAGTGGTGTATCTTTTTATTTGAATGTTATGAATTTGCAAACAAGTCTATGTTGAAAGAAAAAAAAAAAATCCGATGTCTAATTATAGTTCACTTTTCAGTTCAGTTCATTTTTACTTTTAAATGTGTAAGCAGATTTAAGTACAGACACTCTAACTTTCAGTTAAGTATCACTTTGACTAGCTACTTCATCTAATTATGACACATTAACCATACTCAAGTGTTATTTTCTGTACTTTTCCACCCCTGTAGTCTTAGTATGAAAGATGACTTTTTTTCGAAAATATCCTTCCTGAGCGCAGTGTGTGCAGATAAACTGCACTTAACTTAAGATCTCATTGAAGCAATTGTGTGAACGCGAAATAGAGGTAATCCTGTGGTGGACAAATGTATAATCTTAATAAAGTTAGCAATAAACAATTCTTCCGACTAAGATTAGGGTATTCTATGAACAGAAAAATGGCTCGAGTGTAAAAGTTATTGGTATAAAAACCTGGAGCACTGCTTCTTTGTGGACTAGTGGCATGTTTTTAACGCAGACTTATGTGACATTTGCTTTGTTTTACATTTCATTTAGCTGATGAGTGGATTCCAGCATTTGAGGGTCTTACAGAGAGGAACTCTGTGATCATCCGTGACCTGCCTACAGGAGAGAAGATGCAGTTCCGTGTACGGGCGTATAATATGGCTGGCCCCAGTCCTCCTGCCACTCTGTCCCAAGCTGTCACCATCCGCGAGATCATGCGTGAGTTTAACACCTACTGATTTAACATTGCATATAAGGAGAATTGTAAGTCAGGGATATACAGTATCTATTGGAAAAATGTAGGCATTAAAGAATGCAGTGCCTATTTATGGCAAGTATTACCAGAGAGAATATTCTAAATAGCAGTCAAGTGCTACACAAAAGAAAAAAAATAACATGGTACATGGTACTAAATGTAGTACTCAAGTTTTCTTCAAACAGCACAGGGAATTATAAAACTAAATTTGCATTTGTCAGCTGCCTTTACTTCAATTTCAGCTGCATTAAGTTGCATTAACTTGCAGCAATACATTAGATAGAGTGCTTTACAAAAGCTTTTATTGTTTTAACTTAATAAGTCTAGTTCACTGAGGCAATCACCAGCTTGTTCCTGATCAGCTTTCAGCCACTAGCATTCACTAGCTTTCATGAGTAAGAGATATACACAATTACATTAAAGCAGGTCTGTACAATAGAAAGCCCAGGGGCCGGATATAGTCCTTGACCAAACTCCTTCAGGCCTGGAAGTAGAATAAATTCAATAAGAAGCTCAAATTATTCTAATAGACACATTTAGACAAATATATTATGGATCCCTTGCCTTTTGCTTGATGACTTCCTTATTATTGCCCTAAACAACATGGTTTGCAGCTATGAGTTAAAATAGCCTGCATGAGTCATGGCTGTCTTTTTCTATAAACCATTCTCATAAACTTCATTATTGGGTTTTATAGGGCACATTTATGAGATAATTTTCCATTCTTTCTCATTTCCACCATGTGACGTGTTTTTTTTCAGCCCCTTAATTTGTATCAGTTGGTGCAGTTTGTTTGACATGAAATAGAAGCAAAGCCTGGCATCATGTTCAATCACAGTTTGTGTTTTGATGATATGTTACACATTAATTACCTATGCTGCATGTTAACCTGCAAAAAAAGTTTGACAGATTAGCTCCACTGATGTGCGAATGTTGAACTGTCAGGGTTGCCAATCTGTTCAGGAAATTATTTCCTATAGCTTATATACATGACAGTTGTTGCTCAGAATCTTATCATGACTCACATCTGCCAACAACTATGTTAAACTTAACAATGCAAACCCTAAGGATGCCTCTCTGACTGACTGAAACACGGACGCACAAACAAACCATTCCACAAGCAATTAGTTGATGATCATAAGTGTTACTGAAACTAAAATGAAGTGTATAGGATCACAGTTATGGACCTGTGTCTGGTTAAATTAATCTAAATCACCTATCAAAGAATACAGAACCAATTAAATATAACCAGGTCAGATTTCAAGAATAACTTTTCACTCTTCAAGGGCTGCGTAGTTAATCCTACTTGAAAAGTTAATTCTCTCGGAAGGGGAAATCTTTAGGTTTCCTCAGAAAGACAAACCAAAGAAATCTCACGACAGACTTTTAAGAGTGTAGGAGTCAGACTTTTAACTGTATGATGCCAGCTGATCATTTCGATTACTCAATCTCAGTTATTTTAATGTGCTAACTTTAGAGAACCTCACTAATATTTCCAGGACAGTGTATCCATGTTCTCATTTATTTTCCATAACAGGGAAACAACTCTATAAATTTCCAGGATGCAGAGGAATCCTGAGCACTCCTCTGCTGCTCATGTGTCATATAATATAACACCATAGGTCTTGTTCACACACGCTCATTCTCATTTTCATGTCTATCAGCCGTTTACAGCAAATACAGTTACGGAGGTATGATGTGAGGTTTATTTTTGGGTCCAGGAGCCCCTCGGACATGCCACTCGCTGATAAAACAGTGACATGTGAAGTGTTTATCTGGTGAAAGACCATACTGGGAGGTCTTTTATGCCATCTAAGTGATAAAGAAATGCTCAGCACTTTATGAACAGCTATTGCATAGGCTTATTTATTGAGGTTTTATAGTATAACCACTGTGAGCCACAGAAGAATTATTCAGATGATGACTCATACTCTTCTCTAGTTTTGAAAAATAATATATTGTCTTCTTCCAACATATAACGTGTTGAGACTCAGACAGTTTTTTAAAATTTATTTGTGGTCTTTTGCAAACCCATTCATTCATCTTCAGGAACCACTTCATTCTGTTCAGGGTGGATCTGGAGTCTATCCCGGGAACACTGGGCATGACCAGGAATACACTCTGGATGAGATGCCAGTCTCAGGGCAGCATGCACACACACACACACACACACACACACATCCACATCTAAGGCAATCTTGCATAGACAGTCCACCTACTGGCATGTTTTTGAGAGGTAGGAGGAAACTGGAGGACCCAGAGGAAACCCATACAGACACGGGGAGAACTTGTAAAACTCTGCTCAAACAGTAACACCAGTTCAGAATCAAACCAGTGGCAACACTACCCCCTGCACCACGATGTTTAAAAATTTGTTGTTTCTTCACCACTGCAACTGCCAATATGTTAATTTTGTCAAAATGTTCAGCACTATTATCTCCTGGGTCACTTCCCAATTCTCTGATTTTTCTCTTTGCCTTCTAACAGAGCGTCCAAAAATTTGGATCCCTCGCAATCTTCGCCAGACTCTCATCAAGAGAGTAGGGGAGAGTGTTAACCTGGTGATCCCATTCCAAGTAAGAATCAACTGTCCTGACTGACATAAAATCTCATCAAAATTCATTTTTCCAGGGTGTGAACATGGAAAAGGTCAATTGAGGGTGAATAATTATGCAAGGTACTGTACACTTGAGCCTTGTACTAGAGTTGGTAGCTCCTTGCTGCTCCTTTGGCCTCCAACTAGAGTGTGTTGGCCAGACTGAAATGTTAACTACTGTGTTAACAAGGGTTAATTAGGACAGGAAGGGCCTGTTCTTGTTGCCTCTGAAACACTATAAATACACAGAGCTGTGCGGCTGAAACACGATGATAGTGGATGCACACGGACGGCAGCTTCAATACGTGTTAATGACACAAATCTGAACAGCAGCTGTGAAAGCTCTCTGGGGAAATGTATTACTTAAAAACAGCATGCTGGCACGCACACACACACACACACACACACTCACACACACACGTCCAGAGCCAATCTGTTTAAAACTCCTGCCTGCATGTAACACTAGGCATTTAACATACCAGAACTGCTTCCACTCAAATGACATATCTATGTTGTATCATATGAATGTAAAATGGATTGATTTTACAAAACTTGCAGACAAAACACAAGCAGACTGTGATAGTCACTTCTTAAGGTTGCTATTAATATTAGGTTAACTGTTTACTAGCAAGGTAGTTAATTATATTAAGTGAACCAGGAGTCAAGGTCAGCAA